GTGACAGATAGTCATGCCGGCCCAACATCCTCAACGTTGAAAAATGCCCCGGCACGAAGTGGTTAATTCAGTGGCTAGACTTGGCAACGAAAGACGATCACGAAAGTACACTAAGTTAGCATGAAGTTTATTATTGAAACCAAGGTCTATGTGCCATTATGACAGTGCCAAGAAATGCTGAAATTCACGGTATATATCCCCAGTTTTATATGTACTACACATGCGTGAACCACATGATACTGTACACCGGCTCCATGTACAGTACATGTACATGTACTTCGGTGTGCGTGTAACAGGCTGCATTTTGCCGTGCATGCATGGTGCGTGGCTTGATCGGTTGATGCATGTAGAACATGTAGATCGCGCTGCGCAGAAATATCAAATATAATCCATGACAGTCGAACAAAAAATTATTTTGTGTAGTTGCTAAGGACAATTCCATATGGCTCACGAAGGTCTGATCAAGTAACCGCTGCCCACAGTCGAAGTCGTTAATTTCCAGGTGTCTAATGGGAGTGAAACATACTGTGATGAAATGGTTCAAAATGAATAATCACAAGTTAGAAAAGTTGTGGGCATGGAACTGCAATATTAAGGGTAAATCGACGTCACTAAAACTAAGATCAATAAAATAATTTTCTTAATGAAACCTTGCCCATTGGTGACAAACAGTATTAGATGCACGCCTCAATACAACGGTGAAAATAAAACACAAAATGCCCCAGTACTAGAAATAAAGCAACCATGCTAGTTCTGGTTCCGTGTTTGACGCTTTTAATACTGGAATCTAGTATGCTCAGTGAATAGTCGTTGATGTAAAAATGGACATGGGTTCACTGCCAAGATAAGAGAGGAGCCTGGGTACTTGCTGGAATGCGCGATATCTGCTTGGAGCCTGTGTCTTCAGCCTAGGAGATCAGCTTATAGAGCACTCATGGTTTTACTTGCACATGACAGGGATTGCTTCAGCGTTGATAGGCCAATTTTGGTGGGAGGTGGAAAACATGCATATACGCCGGGCTAACGACGTACAGCCCTGCGTGTTAAGTATCTCACAGACAGTTGTCTGTGTATTACACAATTTTCCCTCATGGGAATGTGCACAATTCAGTCTGGGCTGGCAAATTTATGCTCGTCTAAACCGGAGTCTCATCTTACCAAGAGTCGACTGTATTTTTGCCGCTCTCAAAATGGCCCTGTGTGTTAAAGCAATAAGGGGGCTATCGAATGCACAGTGGGTACGGGTATTGGGTCGAATTGCCCGGAAGAAAGGCAAACTGACTTGTGATACATGGAAATGCAGTTCGTGATTTAATTTTAATGCATCTATTTTATGTGTTTCAAAACAAATTTATATTCAGCGAACTAAAAATACTTTGGAAGCGCAAAAATAGCAGCAGCAGAGTACGTTGGAAAATCACACGAAAGCCCTTGTCAATGTCAGGGCGTATTGAGCGGAGAAATCACGTATAGCTCACTACATGTATGCCACTGACATGTCTAGATCCCGCCCTGATACGTACAGGTACATTGCAAAGAATAGGGACTGCGAGCCAGACTAATGCCTGAGATTCCCAGCAGCGACAGAAAAAGGGCAGCACTGCAATACAGGTACGTAAAACTTTTCCGAATGCCAGGTTGATGTCAGGAACACGTCAGGAACACAAGGTAACAGCAGAGTACGTTGGAAAATCACACGAATGTTTATTCATTGTATTTTTAGAAGGGGGGAAAATGCTGTTCCCCCATTCCAATGTCAGGTCGGTGGCTTTTGTTGTTGAATGAGAGTAAATGAGGTAATCTCATCGGGCAGTGTTGTCACGCCGACAACTAATCTTCAAAGCCCGCTGCGGTGCAGGGTGCTTTATTAATATAACAAATGCCACCGACACAATAGCTTATCCTTAATGAGCTGTGGCCTGAGCTAGAATACCGTACCATGCCGCGCTCACTTAGATCGTCCAAGGGGATAATAATCCGCCGCAAAGTTGCTGTCTTGCACTGTGGCGCGCCGAGTAACTGAATTTGGATGCCGGGCACATGGTCAACTGGGGTCGCACGCAATGCTATTTGTTATTAAGTGATCTCTTTTCTGGGTACCCAGGTACCCGATGTTGACAAAAAAACGGGTACCCGGTTCAAATATACCCAGAAATGCACACTCCTAGAGCTCAGTCTTTTCTTCTTTTTGGGGGGTTTCAGGGGAAACTTCCAAAAGGAAATGTGGAATCTTTAAATGTTGATAAAAGGTTAAATAAACTGGAAACCATGACTGTGTTGGTTAATTGGTGAAAACCGATTTGAACTACAGACTTACTTTTCACCCATACTATGCATACTAAAAAAAATTGTATCTCATTTGATTATGAGATTCAGTTAATATCAATCCAAATCAATATTTTCACAAAACAAACTACCTTTGGCCCGATGTCAAAAAGATTTCAATCGGCGTGCCGCAGTGGGCTCCACAGCGTCGCACTGAGGGTCAGTGCGCCCTGGCTGACTGACCCTCGGCGTCGCCAACCTACTTAGTGTTCCTGCATAACAAAGGGTACAGATTTGCTTAATGCTTTCATGGATGACTGCATTCTGGGTACTTGTAGGCAGCCGTGGTGCACCAACAGAATCACAGACACTCATGTGATGCTGGCCATTTTTGCTATTAAAGGCTTTCTGTTAAATAAAAGCATCTTTGAATATTGTCCAACAGGTGAAACAAAATCGTGGAGTTGTCACGATAGTCCACTTACAAGGCTTTTTGACATAACAGAAGGCACAATAGGGATGTTTAATGAGCTGGAGACTGGTCTGGGCGCCTTGCCGAACTGTAGAGGGTCGACAGGTGACTTGGAAAAATGCGCCGTGGGGCACCATGGCGGCTGGCAGCGCACCGATAAAAATCTTTTTGACATCTTGCCTTTTTTGACATCGTGCCTTAATATTTCACACTTGTGACTCGTTTTTTTGATTTGGCTCACAATTTCAAAGAAAATGATGTCACCTACCATCAGCTGGGGGCCAACCAGTCGGGATGAGCCACTCAACTGCCTACAGGGTACTGGTTTGGCTGTCTTGTCCATGTTGTCACTGACACTTTTACATGTAGGAATACCATGTTGGGTTTGGAGAATTGCTACAACCACTTTGAGCTGGTACCAGTCCACTGAGCCAGGCAAAAGGGCTTTGATCGGAGCCAGCTGACTTATGTCTGAGTGGAAAGTGAAAAGTGATTCAACGACACATTTATTGCAATGCTTTTAAGTAAAGACAATAAAAACAAATAATGAAAAAATTAAGGAAACCAGTGAGAATCATCAGTCACTACATATGCATATTTCCCAAGTGCTCTTTCGCTATTCGCTAAATAATTGATCAACCGTAGTGCGCCCTCTATCGGTTCACCCCAGGTATGGTTGCCGCCACGTTTGTCCTTTTTCTGGGACACAAGGACACCAGCCGAAAGTGGGGAGGACGGGAGGGTTGTGACTGTCTGGATAGGTACGACGTCGAGGACTCCTGCTGCACTTCTGAGGGGGAAGTCCACTTCAATCAATTTACCCAGACATTCACAACATATTCAGATTAGCACGGGACCCTGGAGGTCTGGAGTCTGCTGTTATAGACAAAGCATGTGGATTGTTGTCTGCTCCAGGCCGTCATCGTGGCAGCATTGTCAGAAAGGCCAGCTGAGCATAACAATCATTTCAACAATGGCCAGCGGGTCAGGTGGAGAGTCTCTTGCCGAGGGCAGAGGATGCCAGAGCCCGTTTGGTGGAAGAGGTCCGGCCTGAGCGGTAGAATTAAAGGGCTGGCTAGGTCAGGAGGGGGGATGAGGACTCGGCAGTGTTCTTGCTCAATTTTAGACAGTATGGCTGAGATCAGGGATATTGGAAGAAATGCGTAGGGGAATATTTCTGCCTAGCGGAGATGGAAAGTGTCAATTGCCCAAGCTTGTGGGTCATGGAGCCTCATACAGAAGGCCAGAGGCTGGGCAGGTTGGATCTGGAGATGTGCATTGGTTGGAGGTCGATACCATAGTCCAAGGCCCAGAGGAACATTTCTCTCATCAGGAGGCATAAGCTTGGAGAGCGGATGCCCCCTTGATAGTTTAAGTAAGAGACCACTGTCGCATTGCCAGATTGGATTAGGATGTGTTTGTTCTTGATGGTAAGGTGAAGTGGTAAAGGGCGTTGAATACAGCTTGGGGTTCCAGGATGTTGATGTGACTCTGAGGACTGGTGGTTTCCAAGTCTTTATGCATGTAGAGACAGCAGACGGGGACCAGGTCCATGAGGCTCACCCATGAGGCTCACCCTGAGGCTCAGGAGGTGAAGCCAATCCCAAGCAGGGCCGAACGGCGAGGAAGGTAGAGGCTGATGTTGTCATGGTTTAAGAGGAAAACACAGATGGGTGGAAAGGTTGTAGACGAGGCGGGTGGAGTCTGTGACCTTGGCTGTGGACCAGCGGGATAGGTTCTGAAAGATAATGATGTCTAGGCAACAAAAGTAGGTAGTTACAATCCTGACGACATGCGTGAAAACTCTGGGGAAGGTCGATGCGCCATCACTGATGAAGCAGAGGAACTTCTCGTCACTTTGGTAGATCAGGATGTGCGGATACACATCTTTCAGATATATGGCAAAGGCCCAGGCTAGGAGAGCAGAGACTGGGTGAGTGTTAGCAGGGTTTCCTTGCGAAAGTGCAGATGAATTTGTGGCTTAAGGTTGAGAATCCGAGGCCTGCTGTTCGGCTCCTTCTTCAGGGTGAGAAAAAACATTGCAAACCAACCTGTTGTGGGATGGGCATGAGGCTGGGTGATGGCTTGTTTCTGAAGAAGGAAGCTGAATTCCAACTCCAAGGCCCGTCGATGGGTAGAGATCATGGGGATCAGAGTCTGGCAGAGGAATATGCTGGTGAGAAAGGAAGAGCATATGTTGTAACTCACAGCTGCTGCTGGTGCGGGAGTGAAGAGAGACGGATCCCGCTAATGTCTGGTGGAAGGACGGGCAACTAAGGGTCCAGTACCAGGGGGATATGAACAGGCAGCCTGAGACTAGAGCCACATCCTTCTGTAGCATACGGAAATGGGACTCCACGGATGCAAAGCAGATTGTGGATTCTAAGTCTTTGTTGCCAGAGGACACCCTGTCAACATCAGGGAGGGGGAGACCGGATCTCCCATGTGCCTGAGGTGGAATAGTGCGTGGCTGCAGTGGACACTAACGGGAGCATCAAGTCCACACCATGAGGGGCCACATGCCCCCCAGACTGGTGGCAGTGGCTTGGCCATGGTAGGACCATGGCAAAGAAAAGAGGCTCTGAAGTGGGATAGCTGACCAGCGCAGTAAGATTTTGTAAGAGAGGCCAGAGAGCCATTCACAAAAAAAAAGAAAGAGGAGTGTCACGATGCCAGAAGGATTCAACATCTGCGAAATAGTACCGTGGATTTTGTAAGACTGGCATTTGGGTGATCAGCTTGTAGGGGGTGGTATCTCTCGACCTTGAGTGGAGGGCCCATACTGAGGGAACAGCCCCGGCGGGAGTTTCCGCAGTGTACCAGGTCAGCTGGTTCTGATACTTTGCAGGAGGCTGCTTTGGCTTGAGCTGGCTAACCAGGCTGGAGAGGGTTACTGAGAATGATTGGAGAGGGAGGAGAGGCATCCCGGAGCTTGGAAGAACGCAATTTCTTGGTGGTAGTCCTAGTGCAGGAGGATCGTTAGCATTCCTTATGGCCGGGGGAGACCGTGGAGCAGTTTGCCGATGGGCTGGCAGAAAGCGTCCCCGGATTGGACAGGCTGTGGACCACCAGGCAGTGAGGATTGTGTCTCTTGAGTCACGGCAGCGGCAGATGTGGAAGGCCCTGGGCCAGATCTGGTACATACTGGAGTAAGATGGGGCGTGCATAAGCCTCAGTAGCATAGCAGGCCAGTACATACGGCCACCCTGGCTGAGATTCTGCGGTCCAGAGCATTCACCAGGGCAGCCCCAGATAGTGACAGGGAGATAGCCCGGTGTACACCGTTGCCCAGTTCAAGCTTGAATGCCTAGTCGGGATTAGAACGGGACGTGAGGGGAGGTCTCCACGTGGAAGTGGGTGACGGGTTCGGAGGTCGCTGCTGTGCTCTAGATTCGCTTCCTAGAGGAGTGTGCACCAGGGGGATGACCAGTAGAGAGCCTGAAGACATGCGCAGAGACACAAGAAAATGAGAGAACACACATAAATGTGCCAAAACGGCATTAGTAGGCATTGAACCCCGAACCTTGTGATCAAAAGTCCTAACCACTAGGCTACATGCTCCTTGAGATGTACAGAATCGTTACACCAAAGCAAAGTGCAGTAAAAATGAGGGGGACTAACAAAACGATTAATGTGCGTTATAGTCCAAAAAATTCTGATACAGGCCAGAGGAGACTTAAGAAAGTAAGTAATACCATAAGGGGCGACAACTGGCCCGGGGAATAAAATTATCATAACAAGCAGGCCACAAAGTCCTGTAAAAATATAAGGAAAACCAATCAATGGCTAGGCTAAAAGAACCGTACTGGTCAAGCTGTATAAATAGTGGGGCACCTTACAAATAGCGTTACCAGGTTCAGTGATAAAATACACTTTGTAGCATAAAAACAAACATGAAATTTATCTTTGCACAAAAACGTAACAGAATAATGACACAATGACGAGGTAAAAATAAAGTACACTAAAATACTTTACGGTTGATCAGGATAACACAGATCAGCTTCAGCGACACAGAATGCTTGATGAAATCAAGGTCGAAAGACATGTCCGTATTCAAGCAAAAAGGGCTAGAAAAAGGATGAACATGGCAGCAACCACGCCTTGGGTGGACTGATAGAGGGTACACTAAGGTTGATCAAGTATTTAGCAAATAGTGAAAGAGCACTAGGGAATATGCATATGTAGAGACTGTCTGGGTAAGTTGACTGAAGTGGCCATAGAAAATATTGACAGGGTAAGAAAAACATGCATACATTTTCTAAAAGCCAAAGTTTGTGCATGAAACAAATGGACTTCAACAAAACAAAGGAAAAAAAAGACAACCAAAAAAATGCTGCTCAACCCAGACATTCGCTGGAAGCTATTGTTTTGCATAAGGTAGCATATGAAGAACCATATCAGAACAAATGTGACACTTGTGACAGGAAAGAATGTCCACCTGCAGCATATCAGTTACTTACTTTCTAAAATCCACGGTAATTGATAAGAAGTTGATCAACATCAAGACAATGAAATTTCATTTCAAGAAGCATTTATTAATCAAAACTGTGGGAAGTGGACATCTTTAATAGATCTTATTACCCAATCATTTGGTTTGAGGATAAAGTATTGATTTTACCTGAGTTAATTGGTGGTGCTCTAATAACACCCTCGATCTGTTTTTGGAGGGCTGAAGTGATGTTAACTGTGCATACAATGAGAAAAAGATCTCAGTTCAAATGAAACAAACCAAGGAAATATTGTAATGACATGTGTAGGTGATTCTGTATCTAGACAAATA